TCTTTGACTTCAACATTACTTGATTGGCTATTAGGTATTTTGGGAACTTTGTGGTGCTGAAATGAGGAATTCTTTCTTCCTTTGTCAATAAGGAGCTGCATATCGAGGGGGACAAAACATTCAACAGAGCACCTATGATCTCATAATACATGCTCCTAATTAGACTTTATATTTTGGGTTTCAACACCACTTGCTCATAGTTTGACCTTTCACGTTTTAAAGAAAACAGTTGGAATCCCCTCAGCCTCCCCCCCCCCCCCCCCCACCCCCACCCCTGCCAGATGACCAGTTGCTAGTGACAGACGCCACAGGTAACATCTGTGATGCAAGCTAATTTAAATTGAACATCATGAGGTTTGAAGGTATGGCTGCAACCACAGTTTGTGGTAAGATTGGAAGGATGTTTTGCAAAACAGTTGTGAATAAAACTTACATTTTCATTGAATGTAGGAACAAGGACAGACCATTGACTCCCTTGAGCCTGTTGCACAGTTCAGTTAGAACATGGCCAATCAGTACCTCAACTACATTCATCACCTTTGTATATTAATCCTTCATGCACATTATGCAACAACAAACCTCCGTTTTGAAAGCTCTAGCATTCAACAGCCTTTTAAGGAGAGAGTTCCAGTTTTCTACTAAGCTTCAGATGGAAATATGCTTCCTGATTGGACTCCTAAATGGGTCTAATTTTAATATTGTGTCCCTTGTTTTGGATTTAACCACAAGTTAAATCGGTTTTAATTTATCGAATGTTTTAATAATTTCAAACAGGCCAAATGAATGTCTCCCCAGCTTTGTAAACTTGAGTGAATATATGCCAGGTTTTCCCATCATTTAGTGCTCATGTCATTATGGAGAATCTGCACTGTCGCTATTCAAATCCTTTTTACTGTATGACCAGAATTCAATTCATTCCTTCAGAAAGGGTCTGACCAAGGTTCTGTGTAATTGAGGCATCACTTCCTCCTTCTTGTAATGAGAAAGCAGCCCTATGGTCTGGTGGGACTATGGCAACTTTACTTTTATTCCACTCCCCTTGAGTTAAAATCCCATCATCCCTTTTGATCACCTGAGACCTAGCATTGTGATTTGTGAAATTGGAGCCATAAAGCTTGCAGCTTCTGTGCCATTTTATTCAATTCCAGGGTCCAGTCTTAAATTCTCCAGCTTTTCCACACAACTAAGGACCATCCTCCCTGGTCCCATTCTTGTAAATCTCGTCGGCATCCACTCCAATGTCGCACAATGCACACATCATAATCTAAAGTAATTAAATGTAAAGTATTCATATTGAAGGCTATGCCCCACTTGTATTAGCTCTGACTCTGTTAAGTATAATGAGATTGAATTTACCTTTTTACGTTTTACTTTTTAATTTGAAAGATGAATTCTACTTTAGTACTTTCTTTTTATTCTTTTGTACGTCAAAATGGCACCAGACTGTGGCGACAGAACATTTTTCACTGTATCTCCCTGGATATGGGGCAATTTTAAAAAAAACCAACCTCTCAAATTTACCTTTCGGATCTTGACTCCTTCTGTGTGATCAGTCCTGAGCTTTCACTCCCTTCGTCTTGCTGTTGTCCTTACAAACTTGCATATGTAAAAGTATTGCAGCTACGCAGACTTGTGCACAGTAGGCTATGTTTTTATAGGGATTTACAGTTTCTTAGAGAAAACAGGCTTTGAGAGTGAGTCTGGCACTCTTCATCTGTTGGTGTTCAGCTGTCCAGCTTCTCACATTACCATAGCATTGCTAGACCTTGAACTCCAGTTGGCCTAAGTAAATACGTTTGCTGATGTTCTTGTTTCATGATCTTTTAAGAAATGATGAAGCCAGGTTTAAATTTTGTGTTTTTTTTGGCAAGGTATTTTTATTATTTTCTCTTCTCCAATTACTCACTCTCCCATTCAAGTCTATCTTGGGCACATAGACAGATCCAGCAGACTGCTGCTCAGCTTCTGCTGGGTGTGCTATATGACCAGCTTCTTACAGAATGCTTCAGAGTTCAGTTTAGGATTCCAGCTTCATCTTAATTGCCTCTGGCCATCAGTTTTAATGACTGTGATCAGTAACACACAGGATAGGATACCACAAATATAAAGCCAGTTCCTAGCACTCCACAACAAAATACGTGAAAGCACCAATTTACTGCCTCGGTTAATACCCAATTTGGTATCTATTTATGACATCAGTAGTACTAACAAGGATATAATAGGAAATGAAATAGGATAGTTACAAACTCAGCATTTGACTCCTTTTCAGTATTAAAAATGAGCTATCAGTGAAGGTTAATGTATGACAAACAATGTTGATAATATCGTTTGAAATTTCTGGGATTGGATTGCATGACCAATCTAATAGACTATTCCCTTACACTCAAGAAGGATGTAAGAAAGGCTGCTTTACATTATGTCATCATCAAAAATGGTTTCTCGCTATTTATAAACTGTTTTTATTGGACAGCGACCAACATACTGGGGCCAGTAGGTGTTCTGACGAGGAGAGCTTTTGCCAAGGTTTTGATCTGAAAATCGGCTCGGTGAAAGCAGCTACAGCACACGGGGACTAACCCTTTCTTTCAGTCAAATCACAGAGTGCAGGTTTAAAAAGCAAACTTGGCACTTTTAAGTGGGTTAGAAGGACACAGGAGTATTGCTTTAGAGAATCACACCCTACGCAAGGAAAAGTAAGGCTCCAGAAACTTTGGCAAAAAGTGGGGAAAGTGTGAAAGGAGTGGAGGCGATGCGGAAAGACTGAGTTATTGTTATAGAACAAGTGATGAGATTTGACCTGCCGGGTGGGCTGGTAAAATACCAAGAGGCGGTTTTGGGGAAGGCTTTTCACCATCATCCTACCCTAAAAATGGACATGGCAGCCATCGCCCGGAGGCAGCCATTGCCCGGAGGCAGCCATTGAAGTCCATCTCTGTTGGCTGCACCCCCCTCACCCCTCACACTAGGTGGCAAGGTTGCCAGTCATGAGGAGTGCCCTCCCTGTGCTGTCAGAGAAAACTGTCAGAGCAGAAGACTATGGTCCTAGGAGGGACAGTCCTTGTTGTGAGTCTGCAGTGAGGTTTAACGGCGAGAGGCACCACCAATGTCACACATTTCCATCGCATTTGGGCAAGAGAGGTCTCTTGTGGTGCTGTGGTAGTGTCCCTACCTTTGAGCCAGAAGGCCCAGGTTCAAGTCCTGCCTGTTTCAGAGGTATGCAATCATAGCTCTGAACAGGTTGATAAGAAAATAGCTTCAAGGAGCTTTTTCTTAACTATATACACCATATACAGAGTCAGATAAAGAAGGAACATTCCTAGAACCATGCTGGCCCAATCTCAGTTAGGCCCTGGTGAGAGTACTCCCACTTGGAGTACTGCGAGCAAATCTGGGCACCACACCTTAGGAAGGATACACTGGCCTTGGTGAGAGTACAATATAGCTTTACAAGAATGATAGCTGAACTCCAGGGGTCAAGATAGAGGAGAGGTTATACAAATTAGGCCTGTTTTCTCTAGAATTCAGAAGGTTGAGGGATGATCTGATTGACGTCTTCATAATATTAACATGAAAAGACTGGATAGATAAACTATTTCCACTGGTTGGGGACCCTAGAACCTGGGGTATTGTCTGAGAATTAGAGCCACGCCATCCAGGAGAGATGTCAGGAAGCGCTTCAAAACACAAAGGGTGATAGATATTTGGAAGTTTCTTCCACAAATGGCAGCAGATGCTGAATCAGTTGTTAATTTTAAATCTGAGATAGATAAGTTTTTGTTAATCAAAAATAGTACAAGATAAGGCGGCACGGTGGCTCAGTGGTTAGCACTGCTGCCTCATAGCACCCAGGACCCGGGTTTGATTCCACCCTCATGACTCCACCCTCAGGCAACTGTTTGTGTGGAATTTGCACATTCTCCCTGTGTCTGCATGGGTTTCCTCTGGGTGAGAGAGATAGTAGGAATTGCAGATGCTGGAGAATCCGAGACAACAAGGTGCAGGGCTGGATGAACACAGCAGGCCAAGCAGCATCATAGGAGCAGAGAGGCTGACGTTTCGGGCCTAGACCCTTCTCCAGTTTCCTCCCACAGTCCAAAGAGGTGCAAGTTAAGTGGATTTGCCATGCCTTATTGCCCTTTGTGTTCAGGAATGGTGGGTTAACCATGAGAGATGCAAGGTTACAGAGATAGGGTAGGGGTGCGATGCTGTTTCGAGAAATGGGTATGGACTTGTTGGGCCGAATGACCTGCTTCCACACTGTAGAGATTCTATGATGGGCCAAAGGATATGGAGTTAGGCCATAGATCAGCCATAATCTCATTGAATGGCAGAACAGGCTCAAAGGGCCAAATGGTCTACTCCTGTTCAATGTTCCTCATTCCAGGTCAGTCAGGACGTCGGCAGGTGTCACTGAGGGTGTGCGCTATTTATGTATGTAAAGGGGTGGGTAGTGCGTGATAATTGTCCTTTTAATTAGTAACATGGCAGTGGTAAAGGTAAAGCGCCCAGAAATGTGTAACAGCATCTCTGACCAAAAGAAGAAAACAAATTAACATAATGGGGCTTACCCATTAGCTGTTAGCCTGGCCTCGATAGACAAAAATGTATCATTCTTCTGTGGACGTGACACCAAATGGAGCTGCACCCTCCCCACTCCACCCCTCCTTGTAGTCTCAGCAGTGACAATCTCTCTTGGCCAGGTGACTGAGGCTGTAGGTGGCCCTTTGATTTGAGCAACAGTGTGGAGAGTCAGTGTGCTGTTGTTAGTCGGATGATGGGTCCATTTGCAGCCATTGAAGAGGCTGCCACTGGCAGGATTGGCACTCGTGTCCATTTGCCCGAACACATGGGTTTGGCTCCCACATATGGTTATGACCTCAGGACTCTTTCCCCCTCCTAAGAAAACTCTGGATACCATCTAAGTGTTTTAGACACTCCTTGTCTCAGTTTTATTCAGTCAGCTGTGGATTAAAGTGATTGTTGCAAAATATTTCCAAGCTAGTGAAGAGAGCTGTTCACATACCTTTAATATTTAATGTAGTTCTGCTGGTAATAAAAGCTTTTGATATCATGATTGCAATGATTATTTAAGCAACATACAGCAGAATTTTCAGAATACACTTCTTTGTCTTCTTTTTAAACATGAGCTTGAAGTAAATCATTTCTTTTCCATTCTATCTCTCCACAGGGGTTTGAATAATGATTTTGTTTTTCTTGTTACCAGGTGTTCAATGCCTTTTCCATTGAGCAGGTCAGAAGGCAGTTCAAGGTAGACATGACTTCCTTCACAAAAGAATCAACTGTTTCTCTCATTTGTCTAATTTTCTTTTGCATTCTAGATTCTGCTGAAGCTGCTTGCTAACTCCACCTTTAGATATTTTCACAAGTAATCAGTTGCTGCAAATAGCACCATGTAATATGAGATCATGCTGAATCAGGGCTTTCTTTAAATGAACAGATCAGGCCTCAATGATGTCATCAGGACCTGAGTGTGATTTTTAACTGAGGACTCAATGGTGGAGCCCACCAGGGGATGGCCAGTCAGGTCTTGGAAGCCAGAATTGATTCAATTATGTCTTTCCTTTGTGGGGTCAGAGTTTCTCCTTCGAGCCCCTGCAGGATTGTTCAGTCCTCCCCCGCTGAGGCCTCCCCACAATCACCAAACCTGGCACATTCCCTGGATCCTGAAAGTGGCCCCTTCCATAGGTTTGACGGGCAATTTTCCCTCAGTTCCCAACCTGGGTGGGAAGTCAACAATCGAGACTGAGTGGAGGCTGAGGCAGATGAAGCAATCCAGGCCTCATTTCTACAAGGGGCTGGCTGAGTTTCATCTTCACATTGCTATTCGCTATACAAGCCTCACTTGGAGTTAAATGGGACTTCTGTTTGTACATCGACCCAGCATGAAACTGCCGATAATTCACTCGGAGATTGCAAGAACTGCAGATGCTGGAGTCAGAGACAACACAGTGTGGACCTGGAGGAACACAGCAGGCCAGGCAGCATCAGAGGAGCAGGAAAGTCATTGTTTCAGGTTGGGACCCTTCTTCAAAACCCGAAATGTTGACTTTCCTACTCATCTGATGCTGCCTGACCTGCTGTGTTCCTCCAGCTCCACACTGTGTTATCTATTGAAACTGCCTATGATGCCCTGTGTCCTTATGTTAATAGAGTAACTTTGTTCCCAGGTCTCTTAACATAAAAATATAGAAAAACAAAATTTGGAGTAAGAGTAGGCCACTCGGCCCTTCATGCCTGATCCATCATTTGGTATAATCACGGCTGATTCTCACTAGTTCAGACCCATGTTCCTGCTATCCCCCCTATTCCTTAACACTTTTAGTCTTCAAAGCTCTCTGCCAATTCACACTCTCTCTATTTCTTCCACTGGGGGCCCACTTTTGCATCAAGGCTCATAGACTAACACTATCGCTGTTGCTTGAAGCACCTTCTCTCACCTGCTGTTACCCCTCAACTCTAAGACAACTAACTCCACATGCCATTTGTGTGGCTTCCTTATTCCTACAGTACATTGCAGCACCGTTTCCCCCACCTGTACCAGCACTAACACCTGCCACCCACTCTCATCTCACTCATCACCCCCAAACTCCCTCAACCCTGTTTGTTCTCAGTACAGGAAAAGACAGTCCCTATCAGA